CACCCTGCAGAGCTGTTACTGTGATAAGCCAGGGCCAACACGGCTGACAGTGTGGAAAAGAGATATTTTATTTTGTATTCTTATGAATACAAAATAAATACCGAATTTCAGTGCCCCTCCCGAAAATTTTTTGTGTGTGTGTTTATAAGTAGTTTTAAACCTTGTGATCCACAAAACAGCAACAACAGTAAAAGAAGGACTGCATTACAGTCAGTGCGTGAGCAGCGGCTTCGCTCATGTGCGATTCATTTGCAGTTTTGACGCACATCAGGTGTGCACATCTCCTGCCCTGATAGCAGCTGGGGGAGGACTATCCTCCGCCTGTGAGCGCTTTGGCACGGACAAAGTGCCCAAGGCAGCACCGCTGCTTGTTGAGAGTAAGAGCGATACGCGCTTTCACGTCAAAAAGTCGTCATAAATAAGTCTCCAATAACACCAGAAAAAGTCGCCAGATTTATCGCTAGTCGCTTTTTAGAAAAAAAGTCACCAAGGGGGTCTGAAAACTCGCTAAATATAGCGACAAAGTCACTAAGTTGGCAACACTGCTCGACAGTGCAGCCTAGGCGGATAAGTCGAATGCAGATCCACTGAGCTCTCAACACAGACAGCCTTGTCAGAAAAAAAGTTGATACAATAAATTAAAAAAAAATTGTTGATGTTGATGTTGATGATGAAATATGTTGATGCATATGCGTACTGAAAGCACTGTATCGAACAGTTCAATACCGATACATGTTGCACCCCGATTATATATAATTGATAAAACATGAAATTCAATAAATACAATGGCATAAAGCAGGCTACAGGAAGATGCAATCACATGTGACTGAAATGGAACCCTGTTGGGCCTCAGTCACCACAGGAAGAGGAAGTTCTTACAAGAGAATATATCCTCAGTTCAGTCTGATGCTCATGCACTCAGCACCAAGACAACATGGAGGTCAGATTTCCCACCATCAGACTCTGTGAGTACTGATCTTGTCTGTTTATAAAAAAGATATTGAGTCTGCAACAGAGAAAGTGCATGCAAGGGAAATTAATATATCCAAAATGCACCCTTATATTTGCATGTACTCATTTGGACATGTGAAAATGCTCACTAATAAATGCATAGGACTTATTACTAATGATGGACAAAAAATATGTTAAATATTAAAATTGTTATTCTCAATCTGTTCAGTGATGAATGTTCTGTTGCTGCTGGTTATAGTAGCTGAATCCAGTGATTCTCAAGCATATAGTAAGTTTAAGTCTTTTTTTTTGCGTATTTTTAACTCTGTGTGTGTGTGTGTAGGTGTGTAATAAATTTTATATATCTTTTAACAATATTTAGTTTCTGAAACTACTGCAGTTGTTATTTTCCAGCTAAAATAGAGCTATAATACAGCTCTAAAACACTTCTGAAATAACCACTTGCATATGTTTATTTACTATTTTGTTGAAATTATTATTTTGAAATTAACTGAAGCCACTTCACTTTCTCCAATTCATTATTTAATCACAGAAAATGTATAGCGAGATATATATAGAGAGAGATTTATTGCTGCTAGATATTTTTAAAAAGAGTCTTTATTTGATTTTCTGTCTCAGATTCAGGTTTTCCTCAAGTTGTTCCAAACAGGCAGCAGTTCTTTCAATCAGAGCCTATCACTATCAGCTGTGAAGGGCTAAATGGGCTGACTGGATGGAAAGTGATGAAAAAGATAAATGGAGGTGTTAGAACATGTGCTTCAAACTGGGAAACATCGATTGGACCTTGCAAAATGATTAATGCATATCCATCAGCTGACAGTGGAGAATACTGGTGTGAACATCGAGGAATACAAAAAAGCAACTCTGTCAACATCACTGTAACTGGTATGTACATAGAAAAAAAAAACTAAATTATAAGTTGACATATTTATTCCATCAACAATTTTTAAAAAAATTCTGTTCAGTACATCACTTACAGCAATAGATAGTGTCATATTTGGTACTGTTGTACCATGGTAGTTTT